GGCAGAGCCAGAATGCGTCCCTACCTGTCTTAGCTGAATTGCCTCTCCAGCATCTTCTGTGCTACACCCAAGCTCATAGCTTACTGCTGCCAAGTCTCTGCCTGCTACTAGCATGTCCTTACTAAGTCAACCTCTGCCACCAGTGCCTAGCACAGAATTTGGCACAAAGAAAAGAATAAGTAAATGTTTGATAGAATGGACTGAAACTTTTGTGTATTAGTTATTTATTCTCAGCTGATCTCCATAGTCACCAACCTCCCTACTACCCAATGCCACCCTCAAGAGGACACTTGTGAGCAGAGGAGGTCCCCAGGGCTGAAGATTCCATCAAATCCTGTGATGAAGAGTTTCTTTGGCCAAGAGACCTAGCATATAACTGATTGGTGACCTTGGTCCAACGATTTTGAGTCTGTTTTCCCATCTACATCTCAGAGCTGCTGCAAAGACCAAGCTATGGAGTGAACATCCTTCCAAAGAGCCATGTTGGCTTGTCACCGTATATGATAGTCTAAAGTTTGGGTATGAAATAACATCACTTAGCGAGCTCCTTACAGCAGATTTCTAGGCTCAACCCCAGAACTTCTGATGTATTAGGTCGGGGGACAGATCTGAGAATGTGCATTTCTAACAAGTTCCCAGGGGAATACTTGTCTTAATTCATTTGGGTTGCAGTAATGGAATACCATAGACTGGGTAGCTTTTAAACAACAGAAATTTACCTTTTATAGTTCTGGGGCCTGGAAAGTCCAATAGCAAGGTGCCAGCAGATTAAGCGTCTAGTGAGGGTCCATTTCCTGGATCCTCACATGGTGGAAGACATGAAGGAGCTCTCTGGGGCCTCTTTTATAAGGGCATTGATCTCTTTCATCAGTGTTCTGCCCTGATGACATAATCAACACCCACATGTGCCACCTCCTAATATCATCATTTCGAAGATTAGAATTTCAACATACGAATTTTAAAGGAACATACGTATTCAGTCTATAACAATACTGATGCTGCTGGTCCAGGGACCACACTTTGAGAACCACTGCCCTAGATGATTCTGAGACCATTACTCTTTCCATGCAGATGCCGTCTTTCCTACATGAAGTATGCTATTTCAGTGCTTGCCTTTATGTTTTACCTTTTTTGCTGTTTTGTTGGAATCTTAACCCAGCTCTAAATTCCTCTGGGCAAAAATTATACCTTCCATTCTACATACTCTCTCACTTTCTGTTTTGTAAAATAATAAGTACATTTCCAGCGTGATTAATAATAGAATAGGAAAAGGAGGAAAATCTCAGACTATCGACGCCAATAAACAACACCTACAAATAGGTCTCAGCCCTGGAATTCTCTTAAAAATTAATTACGAGGCAAAAAGCATTCCACCATCAGTGGTGATATGGGAAGGAAGATTATCTTCTTGATGACACATTTTGTAAAATGTGGATTATTCAAGATTTTAGCTGTAACTTAAACACCAAGGTTTTTAAAAAATAAAATACCACAATTGCATTTCAACTCATAATTTTTATATTGATAGCCAGACTATTGTGTTTTCAACAAGTAAAATCCATTACACAGTCATGGCAACAGTTTGCAATAGATTGTAAATTTTTATTGAGATGATCATCTTGCGATTGAATTTCAAAATGTATTATATGATCATCAGCAAATAAGTCCACAGGGGCTGCTAAAGTACTTTGAATATCATTTATAAAGATCAAAAACCCTGGAAACTCTTACATTTACCCTGTGGAAAGAGAGAAGTCTCATCAGTAGGATCAAATCAATTATTTTTATGGATGAATATTGCATTGCAAAGCTGAGATAAGGTATTACCCAGTTTAATAACATATCATTATATCCTTTGAAAGTAGTAAGTTTCATAATCAGGTTTCAGTGAGGAATTTTACCAAAGGCCTGTTTTGAAAATAATCAAGAAAATGGCATCTCTGTTCAGCATAGTGGTTCAATAACCTTACAAGGAATATTTTCAAGCAACGAAAATACCTGGGTTACATACTACCACAATACATCACTGAGATACTTAAGAATGGTTACAGCCAATTCCACTATAACTCTTGTTTTGAAAACGCAAATTTGTTCCAACATAATTAATATATGAAAGGGCAATTTGAGAATAACACGAATTCCGCATTTGCTTTTGTATGATTTTGTCTGTGAGAAACATTAGTGAAGAAGAAATCTGCACCCAGCAGAACTCAGCCACCTAGGAATACAAACACACACACAGTTCCAACCCTTACCTGCCCCCTCAGCTCACTACCTGTGTTCTGAGCTACACCTTTTCCCCCAGTTTCAGACAGCTTTCCTTCCACCACTTCATAGTCACTCACAGGCTGCAACCTCCCTGAGGCCCACTTCCACAGCAAACTTCAGGTCTTTTTCAAGGTAACACACCATCTGTGTTGAGTATCCCTTATCCAAAATGCTTGGGACCAGAAGTGTTTCAGAGCTCAGATTTTCTTGAATTTCAGAATATTTGCCTATACCTACTAAGATATCTTGGCGATGGGACCCAAGTCCAAACACAAAATTCATTTATGTTTTATATATATATCGTAGGCAATCTTATATAATATTTTAAATAATGTTGTGCATGAACTGAGTTTGTGTACATTGAACCGTCAGAAAGCAGAGATGTAACTATCTTAGCCACTTATGTGGACAATTCTGTGCTTGTCTGTCATCACCATAATTCCTGACTTTGAATGTATATGCTATTGATAAGAAATCATCTTCTTATGCTTATTCACACATAAGTGCTTAACAGTGAAAAAGAATAAATGATATGTCATTAATACCATAAAAAATTAATGTGTTCAGGTTAACTGAGCAGCACAGTAGCCTCCGCAGATACCCGGATCAGCTGTTGAATGTCAGCAACAAGCATCCTGGCTTTCAGTCCTCTCCCTGTGATGTTGTGCTTTGATGAAGAGTTCGCACACCCTGCATTTTACTGTTTCAGGTGAGAACAAACATCAGAAGCAGTTGAGGAACCAGGAAGTGGATCCTCTAGGGAGAAAGAGGCATTCTGCTCGATGGCTTTTAAAAATGTTTCCTCCAGAGTCATCCGCCTTGTTAACAATGATTTTTGTATTAGATGTCTCTGATTTTATAAATTGACATGGTTTCCTGTTCTGCTATGAATGCATACTGCTCCAGTCCTTCAATAAGCTCATCACCAATGCTTGCCGTGTCATCTACAGGCACTTTTTCTGCAGTGTTAACAATGTCATGTTCATTTGTTGTATCGTGCTGGTACTCAGTAAGTTTCAAATTTTGGAGCATTTTGGATTTCCGAGGTTCAGGTTAGGAATACTCCACCTGGATGGATGCACTTCTTGGCCATTTCACATGCAAAAAATTGTGCCACAAGTTTTACTAGATTCCCCTCTTTTTTGATGTGTCACTAGGGAAGTATGGCCTTCCAGCCCCATTTTTTCCATAATCCCTGTGGTTTTTATTTCATAACTTGATATACTGTGGTGATTTTTAAGGACCTATATATCAGGTTATGGCAGAACTGTATGCACTTTCCCTTGCCGTTTGTTCCATGGTTTCTGTACTGATGGTTCCTTCCCCTCCACCCAGATGCCCCCAGTGACTCCTTTTTGTTTTCTGAAACCCATGCTGCCTGCTTTCCTGAACCACACCCGCTTCCACTAGAACATCCCCAGCTGTATATACAATGCTCTCTCTCTCTCTGTCTTTATTCATCATGATGTGGCCAAAAATCAAAGACTGAGAATCAGAAAATCTAAGTGTAATTGATGACCGTGCCACTGGTCATTCTATGACTTTAGACAAAGAGTTTAAAAGCACTGAGTCTCTATTCCTTTGTGTATACATGAAATGTAAGTTCGTACAGCAAAAGGTCACTTGGAGTGAAAAAAAGATATAAATAAGGTAATTTGCAACAAATAAACTGCAAGTTATTTTAATTTCTTGAGCTGCATCCAGAGCCAGACCATCTCAGATACAGTGAGACACACGTTGTTAGCCAATAGCCCCTGATTAGAAATGCAGTAGAAGCCAGGAAGCCTGGGATACAGTTGGAACCAGAGAATCTCTCCTCTTAGACACAATCTCCGCCAGCAAACTCTTACATAGCATCCAGGAATATCAGAGAGACAGGTGTAGTCAGCAGCCCACAGAGACAGACTGGAATCCAGAGGACCCTCAGAGGAATAGTCCCAACCCAGACTCTTAGGTAGGGATAGGAGCCTCCAGGGGATACAGAGGCAGGAAGCTCTTAGGGACTAAGGCAGTTCCAGAAACAATTCAGAGATACTGTGAGAGCCAGGAGGCATTTAAGACATGGTTGGCAACAGGAGCCCCTCGGAGACAACTCCAGAATCAGGAACCATCAAGAAAATTGTCAAAACCAAGAGTCACAGGCTCAGCTCATGGAGCCTCAGGAACAATGTTAGAATTAGAAACACATTAAAGATACAACCAAAATCAGAAGCCCCCAAGGACATAGTCTAAATGAAGCCTTCAGGGTGCATAGTCAGAGCCAGGAGCCCTCAGAGACACAACCAGAGCCAGGAGCCCTCAGAGAAACAGAGCCAAGAACTCTCACAGCAACACGGCCAGGGCCCTCAGAGACACAAAACCAAGAGCCCTCAAAGACATTCTTAGCATTAGAAAGCCTCAGACATATAAATGGCACCAGCAGTTCTGGGAGATACAGAGCCTGTGTGTCTCATCAGAAACACTATTAGATCCAGGAACCTCCCACGACCTAGCTATAGTCAGAAGGTTCTCAGAATCACAGTCAGAACTAGAAAGCCCCCAGAAATGCAACCACAGGCAGCAGGTCCTCTAAAAAATAAAACCAAAACCTTGATCCTTTTATATCCACAATAGGAAGCACATTCACATTCAAAGAAAATTAGGAATTATTTGTCACAGGAAGGCAAGAGGAAGGCCAGTCTTGGCAACAGCACGGCGTCTCATAAAGGAGCCTGGAAAAAAAAAAATCTTACCTGCACACTTGGTCCTGGTGGTGAGGGGAGGCCCTGGCGGTCCGGTACCCCCCTCACCTGGTCGTGTGAGGAGCACCCGGATCTCATACTCAACGTCGGGGTCCAGATGCCACAGCTTGTAGTTGGGAGAGTCGACTATGTGGGTCTCTGCCCAAGTGCCTGTGGTGGTGCGATATTCCACTTCCTTCAGGATGATGGGGCCATCCCCGATGATGGAGTTGGCATTTGGCTTGATCCACAGGTATGTGGCCCCCACAGCCAGCAGCTCTGGGGGAGCAATGGGCGTGGGAGGCTCTGTAAGACAAGCAATCAACAAAGGACTGTCAGACTCAAATGATTTACAGAGCAGACTCCGAGCACATGATGACAAGACACAGAATTCACAACATAACCACAAAAAATCGTCAGAAAACCCTTTGGATTTTATTTTATTTTATTATTTTTACTTTATTTTTTTGAGATGGAGTCTTGCTCTGTCATTCAGAATGGAGTGCAATGGGGCCATCTCAGCTCACTGCAACCTCTGCCTCCCTGATTCAAGCAATTCTCATGCCTCAGCCTCCCAAGTAGCTGGGATTATAGGCGCCTGCCACCACAGCTGGTTAATTTTTGTATTTTTAGTGCAGATGGGGTTTTACCATGTTGGCCAGGTTGGTCTTGAACTCCTGACTTCAGGTGATTCACTCACCTCAGCCTCCCAAAGTGCTGGGATTACAGGCATGAGCCACCACGCCCGCCCTGAAAACTCTTTTTAAATCCCATTCATGCCCTACTTTAAGGGTTTGCATGTAAGTACCTGAATCAGTATTTCTTCAGTAGCTATATTCAACACCTACCTTATCTCCTTTATTTAAAGGCACGAAAGAAAGAAGGCCATGTGAGGAAACGGTTTTCCCAGAACACAGCAAAGCTGCTGGGTGAATACTCTGTTTTCTAGCCTCAAAGGAAAACCTACTTTTGCTGAAGTGAAGTTTGGCACAAAACCCAGGAGAGCCTAAGGTCTACAAACATTTCTTACACAGAACACATAGATTGTTAGTGGAAGTTCTTTCCAAAGGGTGATAAGAGCCCAAGTAGAAAAAGAATGATGGCACAGCAAGAATTCAGCTTCTGCCTCAACCCCAGCAGGTTTCTTCCAGCAGAGAAAGTCATGGGTCACAGCGGACTCAGCAGGAATGAGGGGTCAAAGGAAAAGTCGTGTTGAGTTTTCTTGAATCTGCTCTGTGCTGCCACCTCTCTTCCACTGAGTTCCACACAGTCAGCTAAGTAGACTAAAGGTTCAGCAGGCATGGATTGTGGACGCTTCCTCGCAATTATTAGCCCATGGCAAAGCTACAAAAATTAACGCTTATCTTGTACTTCTTATGTAGTTTAAAATCTCACACATATCATTTTCATGTAATTCTTGGGACAACATTATCATCTTCACTTTAGTGGAGAAAAACAAAACAAAGCAAAACAAAACAGAGAAACTAAATCAGGTCACCTAACCAAGATCATGGAGAAGGTAGCGTAAGATGAAACTTACATCTGCACGACTTCCTGGACCAACCTGCACCAAGGAAGGCTGTCTGCCTCTTAATATTCATCTTTAAAAAATGGAACTGAATATATTGGTTATTTTTATTGGTAGTAAAAATGGCAGAACAGTAAAGAAAACAGAAGAAAGAGAAAATATGAGAAGAAATGGAAGAAAATGGAGAAAAATAGAAGAAAGAAAATATCTCTACCATCCAACATAGCCATTTTTATTCCTCCATGTTCCATTCCAATGTTTATTTATGTACTGACACATTTTTTTGTGTGGTTATAATAACACATAGACCCAATGTAGATTCATTTTTCTTCCTTCACTTATATTGTAAGGATTTTTTTTTTTTTTTTGCATACACTGCTCGAGCTTTATCATCACTGTCTTTAGTATTTATAGAACAATCCATCAGGTTACCACACTAAGCATTCGCTGATTGCTGGATACGTGAGTTGTTAATGTTTTGCTAGGATAAATAATGCTACAATGAACATCTTTGTGCAAATGACTTCAGTCTGTCTTATCTTATGTTTTCTTAGGACCAAGGGTATGAACAAGAGGAAATGAAGAGTAGAACAAGGAAGAGGAGAAAGGGGAGGCACAGAAGAGGCACATGAGGGTGGAATACAATGTGCATTTGTTTGAGAACATCTCACTTGTAGAGGGCCTCTGGTTTATTTGCATGGATAGAAGGCAGGTATACATTTTAGCTTGGAACTCAGGTAAGGGCTTTGAGATAGAGACGCACTCAGCACTTCCCTTCTAATTAATTACCTAGAAGCAAAGATTCTCTAGAAACAGAATAATTGCTAGGAAACAGAGGTGGACAATATTTTCTCAGTGTGACTCGAAGCAAATCTTAAGGGACAACTCCAGATTGCCTCTATTATAGCCTGCCATTTGGTCAGAGAAGGAAATTAAGCAGATTAGTCAAGCTAGATGCTTTTCTTTACAAAGCCATGGAGGTTATTACTCAAGACCTTGTTATCTCAAAGGTGTTTGCAAATTGATTTTTGGATAATTTGTTGCAGGTAGAGAAGTTAGGTTGGCAGGCAGATAATTTCTGAGCTCATCCTTTGTGCATGTTAAATATATGGACCCTTTGATTGTCATTATCAACTCTCCAGAGCTCCCATCAGTCTCCAGAGAAGCCCCAGGGGTGATATTTTGCAGTTCTCTGATGACTCTGCCCAATTCCTTAACATAATTATTCACAGACTAGATCTCTATAGAATTAAGAGCAGCAGACTTCAACAGTTTGGGTGCTGAGGGAGTGGCCCCATTTAGTTCTTTTCCATCGACTTTTCACCATGGTTTTCTGCTCTCCTATTTCAGACAGCAGTATTCAATTGCTGACCACCAGAAAGAAAATAAAGTATTAAATCTTTCCAAATGGTTAGCTTCTTTTCATGTATTTCTAATGGCATGTGCAAGTATAGTAACAAACATCCCCTTGAGTATATAAATGTCCCTATCTCAAATGATTTGCGACTTCACACATTTGTGTGCAGATTAGCCACGTGGTTACTTCTCCGTCCATCCCCTCAAGAATAGACCATGTAAGTTTAATCACAGTGTTTCCTCTATGTGGCACCAGGGAAGCCATCAGATTATCGTGTGCTTTATTCTTTTCTTTTTCAGTGATCTATTGATTTATAATTGGCATTGTTTAGAAGGCACAGGTACTGGTGGTTCAAAGAGACAGAAGCAAAAATATAGCACAGAATTATTTTTTTGGTAAGCAGCACATTATTTTACAAATACATAGAAAAAGCCTATCTAAATCAGTTCTCTATCTCTAAGATGAACTCTTCAAGAAGACAGTATAGGAAATGTACAGGGCCATCCAGTCCAATGGCCAGAGTCATCAGGAAGGAAAAGGAAACCCCTGTGTATCTCATTTGCCAGACAGAGCACTGTGCGCATGAAATCTAATGCAGCCAAGTAAATCAGTGATAACGAAGTGTAACAAAGTCATGACGGGGGTGGCGGAGGCATTTTTGAAGCCTGTGAAATGACCTAATCTGGTCTAGAGCTTAGGGAAGCTCTTGCAGACAGCACTTAGGGGAGTGTTCTGCTGGGACTGCTCATGTTGAGTCTATGAACAAAGAAAAATTCCTGGGGGTCTCCTAGTTCTGAGTTACTTGGGCTAGACTGGCAAACAATTAAAATGATGTTCCCTGGACACTCATTCATTCACTCATTCTATGAATGTCGAGTCCCTGTGGCTGGTCACACAATGTCCCAGGCACAGACACAATCTTGGCTGCATGGAGCTCACCTTCCAGCCCTCACTGGAGGATTGACACAAAGAAGTCAGGAGAGAAGGAAGCTGACTCAGAAGATGTTGAGAAGGAGGGCATCTGAGAATGGAGAGGCCCTGGGAGCCAGACCTAGGTAGGAGCTTATGGATCCATAAAGCGATACACATATACAAAATGGAATACTGCTCAGTGAGAAGAAATGAACCAGCTGCAGATGCAGATACACACAACAATATGAGTAAATCTCAAAAAAAAATTCATGCAAAAGAAAAATAAAAGAAGAACTCCACTTATGTGAAAAGTTCAAGAACAAGAAAAACTGCTCTATGGTGATAAAAGCCAGAAGCATAGTTACCTAGCAGGCAGGTACTGACTGGGACAGAGCCTGAGGGAAGTTTCTGGGATGTTAGAATGTTCTCTATATGCTGATTTGGGTAGTTAAATAATAGAAATCAAAACAGTGTTACTATAAGGGACATGACTGTCTGAAAGAAGGCATGAGAAAAATTTGGGAGGTTATAACCATTTCTGTATCTTAACCAGGGTTATGCAAGACTCATTAAACTGTGAACTTAAAACATAGGTATTTTTATGTATATAAGTGATACCTTCCAAGTTAAAAAAAAATCACAAAAATATGGATACGTGACTCATTAAGTGAAGAGAATGCCACTAATTACTCAAAACTGAACCCCAGAAAATTGGGAGAAAATTAGCCTTTACTTCTATACCATTCCCTCCTATCAGCACCATCAGGTGCTTGAATTCCCAATAGTTTTCCTAACAAGAGGTTGTTCAGGCACACACCAGTTTCTTATCCATGAGCCTTTTCATATCTGACACAACCAACGCCCTCTCCTTACCAGACTCCACAGCATTATCTGTGCAAAGCCAGGAGTAAGTAACATCTGATGGCACCCTTTGCTCATGAAGTTTGCAACCAGACTAAGAAGGAGGAAGTCTTGCCTTCAGGGAGCTGAGGCCTGAGCTGGGTGATGACATCAGTGCCTTCCAGCCAGGCATCAAAGCACTGCGAGGACGAGGATGCCAGGAGCCCTCCATGAGGCCTGGGCAGCAGCAGCCCTGAGCTTCCAAGGCTCTCCTTCAACATGTAGATGGTGAAGTGACCCCTTCATGTAATTCTGCCTCATCCTCAGGCAGCAATCTCCAGAACGATTCTGTCTTTCTTTTCCCTGCTGTGAGCACTTGTAACAGTTTGACTCCCCAGAAATTCCCACAGAGAGCAAAAGTGTTTCAAATAGCTGGAGACAGAGCTGTGCGCATGTATTGTCTGCTCCAGACAGAAATCAAACATTTTGAGAAAAGCCAAATGTTACTAAGATGTGAAGTGAGCCTTGATATGATTAAGGTGAGCATAACCTGGCCTCCAACACTTTCCACCACATGCCTCACCCTACCTGATCACTGTTTTAATTGCATTTCTATTCACTGACCCTCTAGGTCTGTGGGAATGCCTCCACCCACCCAACCCTAGCCAC